AGAGGCTGCCGAGGAAGAGGACGAGGAATCAGAGCCCGAGCCCGAGCAGCCCAAAAGCAACGGGAAGAAGCCGGTCGCATCCAGGGGCAAGGGAAAATCACCGGCCGTCAAGGCCAAGGCGAAGCGAGCGACGCGACCTACTCGCGGGCGGCCACCCAAGGAAACTTCGGACATGGACGTGGATGATGACGACGACGAGTGAAATATGTATGTTAGGGAAATTGGGTTTTTTTTTTGCTTGGAGATGAAATCGTTTATACTCTTTGGGCTCTGGAGATGGACTTGTTTGACTGATTGACTGATTGACTGACTAGGTTGAATTGGTTTGTTTGATTTACTGCTTGCTTTGTCTGCTATTTTACGTGTCTTTGTTTGTTTAGGAAGAAAAAATGTTTATATTGGCCTTTTTAGTCTCCTGTTGCGTTTTATGCTTGTTTTCTCTCCTGGTTCATCTTCATCCCTCTCTGTCTCTCCCGCTCTTGAAAACCTTCAGTCCCGCCAGCATGCATTGGGGACGGAAAAAGCCTGTTTGTTTGTCTTTTTTTTCCTTCTTCTCCCCTTCATCTCCCGTCTTCTCCATGACGTATGATTTGACTTTATGAAAAAAGAAAAAGGGGGGGTTGAAGGGCGCTTTATGGAGGTCGCGTGATGTAATCTAGCCAGGTGTCACGTCTTATATATTCCAGCTTGACCAAATGAAGATGTTTAACAATCATGTACAAGCTCGCAAATGCGTGTCTCGCAGTTTACATCTTAAAATTCGTCTTGATAATGTATTCATTGACCCGCCGTCCTAAATTCCAAGATAACAAGAGCCTTTTTCCAGCACTGTTGCCCACCTTGTAGTAAACGGCATTAATACACAAAAAAAAAACCACTCAGAAACACGCATCATACCATCTTTCTTCCCTCATCCTCTCTTCGTCTTTCCTTTGCAATATATATTTTGCTCGCCAGAAATCGTTCGTCTTTTGTATTCTGTCTGAACTCATCGTGAAGCACCGCTATTCAAGATATACGCCCCTAGAATTCTACTGCATCCATTATCTCCCTCCCCCTTGTTCTTCGCCATCTTTACTCTCCCGCCAGAACTGGTCATGATGTTGACGAAGACGCCCCCGCGCCTTGTTGTGCTAGCCTAGCCCTGACTTTTTCACGATGGCCAGAGAATCGAAGATGGGCCTCGAACTTTTGCGCCGTCATATCTGGGCCGGGAGTATACAGCTTCGTTGTGCAGTCCAGGCAGCGGATGCGTGGTAGCCATGCATACTTGACGCCCTCTGGCATGGGCTGTGTTTGGACGGGCAGCTCCGTAACAGGATCCAGATGTGAGTACTTCATGATGGCCTCAAACCTGTCGCCGTTTGGATACTGCTTCTCAAGCTCCTTTAATGACTGCACAAGCCATTCAGGTGGTGGTGGCTAGTGAAAAGGGGTGTGAGTGTGAGTTATGACTGCTCCCATCATGGAGCAACGAATAGTCTACGGTAGTACTTACTGCTGGAGGAGGAGATTGGCCAGGGACGAGCGGTGGTGCAGGTAGACGGCCTATCTGTCCTGGGGGAACGGGTCCAGGGCCGCCCGCGGGCGGTTGAGGCGCAGAGGCCCCCGGAGTCGGGGTCGGAACTGGCGTCAACGACTTGGGCTTTGGTGGAGCTGTAAAGGTCGGTGTTCGTATATTGGATGTTGAGGAGGGGGTTTCTGGCGGCACGGAGGAAGTGGCCAAATCGCGGTAGTCGCCTCTTATGAGTCGCTTTAGCTTTTCCCTGTTGACTCTCAGCGTCACCACCAATTCTGTACGATCTTCCGTTTCTTCGCGGAAGCGGCGAGACGTTCTGGTTTCGTGATGGTGACTAGCTATATCCGGCGTTTCTGACCGGCCCAGGTTTGCCATTCTCTGCTGGGCGGCAGTTGCGGCACCGCGCATGTTTCTGGTGCGAGCCGTGCCGGCGGCCATATTTGACGGCGCCGGAGAATCAGGCGCCGAGTCTTCGCTTTCTTCAGACTCGGATATCTCGCCATCTCGAGCCACCCGTTTCCTGGAAGGACCAGCCACCTTCTTGTACAGTCTGCTCTCCTCAATGTTCGCCGCGGCTCCAGGCAGCACAGAGGAGACGATGAGCGTGCGGATGGTACGCTGCCTGTCCTTGAGGTCGGGGAGTTGGGGTCCGCCTCTCCTGTTGATTGATCTCTTCTGCCGCCGCTGGTCCCGAGAAAAGACTGTCTCGTTTCTTTCTAGATCGGCTTCGCTCATCTCGTACAAGTAGGGGGCGTATTCCTTGGCCTGTTGCTGCGGGCGGAAAACGGTCGGCAGCGGCGTCTGCAGGAAAGCAGAGACCAAATCCGAATCTTCGACGGGCCTTCCATCGAAGGGGTGGCCAATGCTGTAGAGGCTCTTGGTGAAGAGCTGTGATTGTTCGCGGATGCAGTGGGCAATGGCCGTGGTGAACTCCCCAGAGAGAGAGAGGTCTCGGGTCATGCCAGCAGCAAACTCTTCGGGGGAGTTGCTCGGGTTGTTGATTTCCCACTCGAATTGATCCACCAGCGTGTGCTGTCCAATGGTGATGTTGAGCTTAACCAGAATCCGCATCTCGTCATTCTTGTAGGCCGAATAGGGGAGTTCCGGGTCCAGTGAGTCTTCTTCGGAATAGGCAAAGGGGTAAAAGTCGTTGAGCTGCTCCCTCATCTGCTGGACGACCTGCTCATATACAGGCTGTGAGGCCGGAGGTTTCAGGCCCATGTCCTCGACCAGCTGTGCGGCAAACAGCTCGACCGCCAACAGGCGCTCGTGCAAGTTCCAGGTGAAGGTGTCGCGCAGCTTGATCTTGTCCCACTCAACATCCAATCTCAGGGGCACCAGATCCTCGTGCTGCTCGGCCTGCTTGAGCATGTCCTTTCGACTGTATTTGAGCGGAGGCGTGGTGCGATGGCCGGGACGAGGTTTCTGGGACGGATACACGACTCGAGAGGGGCCGTGATTCTCTGTGTATCCATTGGCATAGCCGTTGTAGCCCTCGCCGTACAGCTTGCTGGGGGGGAACCACTGCTGGTATGCGTTGCGGACGGATCGATACTCGTTGATCATCTCGCGCATCTCGTGCGACGACTTCATGGTCTGGTTGAGCTGCTGGCTGAGGGCGGACGCGGCGATGGAGTCGCGCATCGTGTAGCGCTCAACCATCAGCCGGTCAAAGGACTCCTTTGTGCGCACGGGGATGTCCGCGGGCCCGGGCTTGGAGGCGGCATCTTTCGCATCGTCAGAGGCCGAGGCCGACGTCGTCGATCCTGGCCCCGTCGCCGGAGCCGGCATTGATGGCTGAACCGCGGCCATTGTCGGGTCGTGATGCTGGTCTTGTCGCGAGCGCTGGCGCCGCCGAGTCGCAGCGGATCGATGTCGATACGGGGATCGGTATCGCTATCGGCAACAGTAAAAATAGAAAGACGTCACCACAGTGTCCGGGCGCTGGATTGGAGGCTGGCTTTCGACCCGAGAATCGTCGTGGCGGCTGCGAGTCCGACAAGGCTTGGGGTTTGGGTTTGTGGACAAGATTCTAATCGCAGCAGCGCGAATGGTGATAATTAATGCTAGTGGGAACAACTACCCGTCTAGTACTAGCCAACCGCGCTCCAGGTACTAAAGATGCAGATGGTCGGATTACTCATGTGCAAGTACAGGTACTCGTCTCTCAGCCTCGAGCCGGAGCCAATCCAGCCAAGCCCAGGCAGACGGGTCGTCGACAGCCGTACAGGTACTCGCACCAAGATTTGAGAGTCCAAGAGTTGATTCGAACCGCCAATTGGGCAGCAAGTTCCGGGGTTCAGCCGCTTGACCCGGTTTTATCCAATTGATCCAAAACAAAAAGCGGTTTGAGAGTTCATCTCGTAATACTGCTTGAATACAGACTACGAAGCCTATTACCACTACTACAGTATGTAATCCGGGAAGCAGCTCCCACGAGTATCATCATCAAGTCCCACCAATGTTGCTTTGCATAAAGGTGCATATACGAGATGTATTTTAACTCCAAGCTACGCAGCACTATGATGAGCTTGAACAAACCTTGACCATAACCCCACGGCTAATACAGTACGGACATGATGTTCTTACCTTGGTATTTACATACCCTGTAGTCGTCCAGACATATTGAGGCGCACCCATTGCAATGCCATTGTAAGACGACAGCGACCAAAGTGAGAATAAGAGAGAATGAGGTAATGAGGTAATGAGGTAAACAATGTAAGTGATTGATAAGCTGGGCTGCCTTGCTGCTTCTTCCTATTTTGGCTGGAATCATGAGAAGCTGTGACGTGCGTCTTATGCCCTAAACATTTGACGTGCTGCGAAAATGATGTAACCGCATTTGAGCCACCTCAGGGCACCATCCCTACAGAATATATAACTACATGTAATTCTCTGTACACTTGATGCTATATATTGGCATATGTAGATGTCCAGGGAGTAAAAGGAAAGGTAGACCACTTTATATAGAATACACCCACAAGCCCCCCCCCAGAAGCATCCAATACATACATCACCTGCTTTGCTGCTCGGCTGGCTCCGTCCCGTCCATCCTATAGTATTGTCTGCTTGCGGCCGTCGCCTGTTGCTGGGTTAGTCAGTCAATCAGGACCTCGTGCTTGTTCTTGATGTGCGTCAGAGCTGGAGCAAAAACCCACTTCCGGCACCTCGCCCGCCCAATCGTCGAGCTCGGCAGAGGCAACAATAGCGCCCTCGCAGGCCTGGAGCAGCGCCCTGGCCGTCGTATGACTGCACTGGCATGCAAAAGTGCCCACCTGGCCCCGTGGATGACTGGTCCACTGGCACGGATAAACCCCTCCAAAGCCCCCATTCGGAAATCCACTCTGCGCACACCACAGCTTTCGAGTTTGCTTGCCAACCTGCACCTCTGCTTTTTTTGCGACTGCGTCCGCAAGCTTGCTCCGACAACACCAGTCACAATCTCCCAGGAACTGCCGCCGAGCTGCATCAATTGCCCACCATGTCGGAGACCAAGGAGATCGGTATGTGCACTTACACCCAGCTGCCCGTTTCTTGTGTGCTCTACAACCGCCTGAAAGCTCCCCCTCTATTGGAATACCCCGCCAAAACCGCACCAAGCTCTCCAAGTCCATCTCGCCTGGAGCAATGACGGCAAACACCCGCACACGACCATCGTCTTGGGCACCCATCCGGGTCTCTACATGCGAGCAGGGCTAACGGCTGCAACTAGATTACACCCTCAACAACCCCGATACTCTCACCAAGTACAAGACTGCCGCCCAGATCTCCGAAAAGGTTCTGGCTGCCGTGTCTGAGCTCTGCGTGCCTGGTGCAAAGATCGTCGATGTCTGCCAGCAGGGCGACAAGCTGATTGAGGAGGAGATTGCCAAGGTCTACCGTGGAAAGAAGATCACCAAAGGTTGGCCTCATGCGTATTTCCAGGTCCAATATGCAGTTTGATGGCTAACGAAACGCCCCCAAAAAGGCTTCTCTCACCCGACCACTGTCTCCCCTTCTTCTTACGTGACCCCTTACACTCCTCTCACAACCGATGAGAGCGAGGCCTCAACCGAGATCAAGGAGGGAGAGGCCATCAAGATCCAGCTCGGAGCTCAGATCGACGGATTTGGATCCATTGTCTGCAACACTGTCCTCGCCACCGAAAAGGACAAGGCCGCCGAGCCTGTCACTGGACGCAATGCCGATTTGATTCTCGCCACCCACTACGCCAATGAGCTTCTTCTGCGACTCATGATCCCCCCTGGCCTGCTTGCTCAGGGTACCGAAGAGGAGAAGGCCAAGGCTGCTTCCCAAAAGGCCCCCACCCAGGCCAAGATCACCAGCCTCCTGGAGAAGGTCTGCGAGGCCTACGAATGCAAGCTGGTCGAGAGCACCACGTCCTGGCTGTTTGCCCGCAACGACATTGAGGGAGCTAAGAAGATTGTCCTTGCCCCTGCCGAGGGAACCAAGGGTGATGGCGTCCCTGAGGTGGGCGAGGTCTGGGGTGTGGAGATGGGCGTGAGCTTGGGCTCCGGAAAGGTCAAGACCTTGGACCAGCGCGCAACTCTTCACCGCCGAACAAACCAGACTTACCAGCTGAAGCGTCCCACCTCCCGAAAGATCCTTTCCGAGGTGCAGAAGAAGTTTGGTACCTTCCCCTTCAGCTTGAGACAGCTGGAGGACGAGCGTGATGCCAAGTCGGGCGTTGTCGAGTGTGTCCGAAGCAACGTTTTCCGCCAATACGAGCTCGTCGGCGACAAGGACAACCTTCCCGTTGCTAGACTCCTTACGACCCTTGGTAAGTTTCACCGTGACGAAATAGGAGATCGATTTTGATAGTGCGACTGAGCTAACATGTGAGCGCGACAGCCATCACCAAGAACGGCATCACCAAGCTGGGCGGTGCCCCTGAGCTCGACCTCAGCAAGTACCAGACTGACAAGAAGATTACCGACGAAGAGGTTCTCCAGATCCTGGAGCAGCCCCTGGCCAGAAATACCGGAAAGAAGAAGTCCAAGCCCAAGAAGAAGGCGACCAAGGCTGATGGAACTGCCGAGGAGGGAGCCGATGGCGAGGAGTAAAGCTTCGGTAACTTGTATTGGTGTAAAGGGTCATGTTTGTTGAGTGAATAGCTGCCCAGAGTCAGGATAACGCCTTGTTGATACTTGAGCAGAATATCCACTTGACGAACAAGAGAAAAAAAAACATTTTGGCTTTGCAGTTCGTGAAGGCCAAGAGACGGGATTTTCTGCCCAACACAATCTATCTAGGTGATGGCGGTGGGCTACGATAGAGGGCTCGTGAATCTAGTGAAGCGAGGCAGTATATATAAAGCATCAAACACAAACCTTTTTCTCGAAGCAAACTCCGGCCACCACAGGTTTCAGCGCGTGCACGTTTATCTGGGACTGGAAGATGCGAAAGGATGGCTACAAGGATTATCGAGATGAAAAAGGTAAGGTGAAGGTCGTGATGAAATATTTGTTTCTTTTTCATTTTTTTTCATTTGCAACCAGCATGGTGAAACGGCAACGGTAAAGGCAAGGGGCAACAAGGGAAATGAAAAAAAGAAAAGAAAAGAAAGCCTCACAAGGGCGCAGCCTGGACATGGAAATGAAGCAGCGCGGAGTGCATCTCCCGCAGGCCCGTCCCGATACGAAGTGAGGTCACTTGGCACAGCTGCTCACCCCCGTGAGACGAGTCGGAAAAAATGAGAGGGTCCAAAAGGCAGCGGAGGCGAACCAGGCTACGTTTGATCCATTCTTTGAAGGCTCGCCACGCAGAGGCAGCAGCCGAGGCTGGCGGCTCAAGCAGAAGCAGGGGGAAATAAAAACGCAATAAACGCTTACACGTAGCAGATGCCCTCATGTAATAACTAATGCAGGTATGCCCGTACCCATGCCCAGGGCCTTTGGACGAGTGTCTCGGAGTCGGGCAGCTCGACTGATTTGATGGGAATTTTGGGACAATGGCGAAAAAGAGAGGAGGACATGATGGAGAGCAAGATAGGAAGACAGCGAGAGAGAGAGAGAGAGAGAGAGGATGAGAGTGACGAGGGCAGAGCAAGGCAGAGCAGGGAGGCCGGCAAGGCGTGCTGGCAACTGTCCCGAGGGTGAGGGTGAGGGCGAGGCGCTGGAAAAAGAAAGGAGGGCCGTGCAAATATCAAAAGGCAGGCGGGAGGATTGCGCAAGCTAGACCGCTTCCACAGCAATCAGTAGAAATTCATGACACCTCGAGGCGATTTTTTTTGCTCTCGCCGTCTGCCAACCCTAAGGCCGGAACTCTGAATCGGTGGTGGGAAGGTGTTGAACCTTGGACGTGCCACTGGGTCGCCCCCCTTGTCCAACAAGCCTGGCCGCCTCCTCCGAAACTCATCCAGAACCTGCAACCCACAGCCTTTTCCCTTGATCCAAGCCACGCAAAAAGCGCGTCCGGAGCGCCAAAAAATCGAGCATCGTGCCTAGACAGCTGATGCTGTTGCTGCAGAGAGAAGTAGAGTTTTCCCCCCCGTCGCAGAGGCCCCCGAGTCACCCCCCCTGCCATCTTCGCCGTCATCCAGTGGCTGACCCCGTCCCTTTTTCGCAGACTCTCGAGAGCAGCGTTGCCCGTCCCGCGGCCAGGGCTGGGGGCAACCAGCAACTGCAACTGCAACTCGCCGCGCCATGATTTCCTCCAACACGAGGGCGTCGCGGTCGCGCTTCTCAAGCCCTTCGCGGCCGCTCGAGGCCAAGAGCTCGGCGGGCAATGATTCCAAGACGTTTATGCAGCGGTGGCTGGAGCCGTCGGTCCAGAGCAAGGCCAGCTTCGAGGAGGCGGGATTGATGCGGTACGGCGTGCTGGAGACCATGGCGCCGCTGGGGACGCTGCCCAAGCCCAAGAAGACGGGAGACGCCGGGCCTGGCCACCAGTCTGTGCGGAAAATCATCCTCAGGCCCTCGGGGTCGTCGCACGCCGCAAACCATCACGACGACCAGGCCGCGCCGCCCAAGACCAGACCCAGGGCGCCATCTTCCCCCGCTCCCTCGACACCGCCTCCTCCCGCGTCAGCGCCATCGCACAGGAAGCTACAGGCCGCCAAAGATGCCGAGGACGAGGAATACGACCCCAAGGGGGCTGCGCGTCGACGACCATCACGGCGCGTGTCGGTGCCAGCCAAGCAGCCGCGGCAGCACGCGAACCCAGGCGAGGGCAAGACTGCTACTGCTACTACTACCACTACTACCGTTGTCATCACTACGCCAAAGGCCAAGCTGGCAGCAGCAGCGGCGGCAGCAGCAGCAGCTACTCCCCCCAAAAAGGAGCCCCGACGGGAGCCCGAGGACAGGGATTTCGCCGACAAGGTCGTGGAGGCGGCCGTCGACGAAGCACTCATGCACTACCGCTATCCTACGGCTTGGGCCCTCAGGTCACTCTACGACGAACGATGCGGCGATTCTGAATTTGTGGCCATGGTGGAGGACGTCTTCAAGCAGACAGCCGACGCCGAGACCATGGATGAATTCGCCCGGCTCATTGAAGTCAAGAAGCGCGAGGGAAAGAAGGACGACCAGGGCTGTTACTACTTCGTGCCCCCTTCTACTAACAGCAGATTTACTCCGCACAAGCCCAAACCAGCTCCCTATGCCAGGCTCCTGATCCATCACGCCGACGACGAAAAGGGCGAGATGCGGGCCGCCAAGAGGAGCAAGACGTCGCACGCCGGCGAGACGTCACGCAGCAAGAAGATGGCTCACGGCATCAAATCGCACGGCGACAGCATCCGCACGCCATCGCGCAGGCGTCACCGGCGGGACTCGGGATCTAGCGAGTCATCCCTGTCGTCAGCAATGAGCCTCTCGTCGCCGGAAGCCAGCGTCCACAGCCTCAGCCCGAGCGTCCAAAAAGCCGGCAAGGCTGGCAAAGCAGGCAAAGCAGCGCACGCTCGTGCTGCTAGCGGTGGTGGTGACGCTGCCAGTGGTGGTGGTGGTGCCACGGTCGCTGACACTGTGATTGCTGCTGCGTCGACTACGGGGGACCGGTCCCAGTCGTCCCATGATGCGCCAAAATCTCGGCCAATCACCAGCACGCGCCGCAAATCTCTCGCCTCCGACAAGCAGCCCGTGTCCAACTCTTCGGAGCCAAACTCTCCCACACTTCCGAGCCGCACCCACACATCCGCGACCGATGCCAGTATGCCTGGCAGGGTCACCGGCTCTGAGTTGTCGCTCTCCAACCCGACCGGCAAAGCTGCCGGCAACGCCAAGTCGGTCTGCCACAAGGACAAGGACAAGGACGGCGCCAGCGCTGTCGGGGCTCCAATGCCTGCAGATGACGACGACTTGTTTTGGACTCGGCGTCGCGATGCTCAAAAGGTCACCAACGGCTATACGGCCAGGGAGAGCTCGGTTCGGAATGGCGACGAGGATGAGCGCGACGGGGTGACTCCCGCAAAGAGGACCAGGAGGACGCGGAACTCCCTGGCGGCCCCCATCAGCACGCGGTCAACGCGATCAGCAAGCAAGCGGCCAAGCAGCAACAGCAACAACAACAATGACGATGTTGACGTTGCCGTCTCATCGCCGGTGGCCTTTTCATTCAATGAAGGCAGTTCGACTGTTGGATCTCGTGCCGTGACGCCAACTGCCCTGCGTCCGACAAAGAAGCCGAGGACAGGTCTCCGTATCAAGTTGTCGTAAGTCTTCACTTCCTTCACTTCCTTCACTTCTCCCTCTCTTTGACCTTTCCCTCCCCTCAGCTTCAGCTCTTTCCCAATCCTTGAATTTTTTTTTTTGCAAGTGAATCTACCCTTTTATGCGCCTAAATGCCCCATTACTCTTTGATGGGGAAGCACGAAGAAAATTCTGCTTCACACACATACACATCCCAACAAACAGCGCGAATGAGTTGAGCATGAGATTTGGGCTTCTTCATCTGATGTGAAACGCAACGTGCGTTTGGACTTATCAGAACGTCTTGTCGATCTTTTCATTCACGAAACAGTTTCCCACCCCATTCTCTCTCCAATCTCACATTTCACCACCATGCTGAATCCTTTGCCTCACTCGCCGCCATCTCATCCCTTGGAGACGCGCTTCGATCAAACCAACTACTTCAAGTTTCTCCTGCTAATCTTCATCATAGGCCAATGAAAAAGAAGGGCGGTACTGCTGCTGGTGTTCCTCGCTCAATGGGTGAGGCACAATCCGTAACGGTAAGCAATGGTGCACCAAGAGACCAGGTATGTGACTTTGGCATTTCATCTTATCTCCTTGTGCGAATGAGAGCATGCCTCTTTGCGAGCCAATACTGCATTTGCAATATTCAACTCTGGCTATGAGAATTCACAGCCTTGAAGCTCCAGGCAAGCGCCCTACGTTTCTCACGCACACATTTTTTTTTCGCACTGTCATACACTGCCCTGAATTGGGGCCAAAGGCCACTGGATGGAGTTGTTGATCTGGGGGCCTACAACATGGGGCAAGGATCTCCAACCACGCACATTTTAGTGGAGGCCCGTCTTGGTCCGCCCATGCCGCCTCGTTTTGGGGGATGATGCAACGTGTAATATGACGATGGGGGGGAAAAGCCATGCTAACTAGGGTGGGCATCCTAGGGATCCGATAACGATGAATACTGCTCTGCATGTGGTAATACAGGGGACGTCGTCTGCTGCGATGGCTGCCCACGCTCATTCCACTTTGAGTGCGTGGATATGGTGCAGTCTGACCATCTCCCTGATGAATGGTACTGCAACGAATGCCTCGTCCGGCGGTATCCATCACGTGTGCCCGTCTATAAGGGTGCGTTCGCGAGTGCTCTCAACGCTCTGGAGAAGAGCATTCCTCGTGCCTTTAGCCTGCCCAAGAAGCTTCAGAATCGATTTGAGGGCGTCAAGGCCGGGGCCGATGGAGACTATGAAGAGGTGACGAGCAAACAAAAGTAAGTGATGCATTTACCCGGCCGTCTCCTCGGCATCCAGTTCATTTCCGGACAGGGCGGCGAGCCTCAAATATCCTTGGAATGTCTTTGCATACATTGATGACTGACTGCTATTCTTTTCACCACAGGAAGCGTGCTGGTTACGATGAGCTGCCGGATTTCT